AAGGTCGTCCCATCTCTTCCCTTACACTCACACACTTATCGCTGCTAAAAAAAAAAAAATTTTAACTGTCCAAGGAGCCACTTGGATTATTTTCCATCTTAGTTTAACACAACCAGCAAAAGGTTATCTTTCTTTTTGTTCACAGAAAGAATGTATGAGCATGGATACACAAAGTACATCATAAAAGGGGAGATTTGAACAGCTGTGTGAAGCAAGTGGGCATGTCTGTCACTCACCAAGTGTCCAACGGATATTCCTAAAATAAAAACGAACTTAAAAGAGCTAAAGCATTCCTAGACAGAGAGAGAGAACAGGGGGGTTCAACTGCATTGCACAACATTTAAAAGTGGAAGATGAAAAAATCCTGCCAAAATTAAGTCTATAAAAAAATGTGTTTAGTGGATGAATTTTTGAGTTAAAGTCTTTATCTGTGTGTGCGAGAACAAGAGGTCCAGCTTTTTCCGTCCCCTGCTTCCAGCTGCTCTCAAATGAGCTATTCTGATCCCCCAGTTTGAGCTCAGCTCTTAGCCGAGCTTATCTTAGGTATGCTCAAGCACAAATAATACACACAACAGGAGGAAACACACAAACTCCAAATTAAAGTGACTTTTATCAGCTTGAAAATACCCATAGAGATTAATTTCTGTTACTATTCTGCCTGAAATTTAAGAGGTTGGGAGGTCTGAAGCAATTGGTGGGCTTTTATCGTTAGTGTCAGAGAGGTCACATTCCTATTCGTAGAGACAGCTTTTCCCATTACATCAATAGTCTCCAACATGCACAAGCACCACAAGTGGAAATTTAGGATGCCACCAGTGGTAATCTGTGGCAATTCTTTTCTATAATTTGCATTATTTACCTAATTGTAGACGAGGAATAAGTCCTGGGGTGTACTGAGGTTGGGTTTCTATGGTAAGTCTATGGTTTTAGTTTAGCTATAATACCTATATCTAACTGAACTTCTTTGTGTTTGATTTTTAGTGTAGTATTTTAAATATTGAACATATTAAATGCCTTTTTTGGGTCAGTTTTAATTGTCACAGTAGGTTCTATGTGTTAAATTCCACAAAAAGAGAGATTTTTCTTAGCAAGCTGTTTGTTTTTTTTCTCGAATTCTGACGTTTACATGCACAAAAAAATGTCTATAGGCAATACGGGATGCTGACATCATGGCGGCACTAATATTGATGTATTAGAGCAACATGTCAAGCTCCAATCCAACCAATCAGGATGGAGATATTCTGTGTTCACAATATGCCAGCCTTTGTGTGAAAAATATACCAACCCAACAACAAAAGTAAAAGATTAGCTGAGCTGTCTGAAGCTAATTATAACAGAGCACCTTTTCTCACAGTTCCACAATACCTGTCCCAATATGGGGTAAGAATCAAGTCAAAAAATTTATAAAAATATGATTACAGTTTAGAAATACAATCAGGGACACAAAAAAAAACATTTTATATTTGCAAATTGTCTTGTGATCCAATGACTCTAAAATTGAAAGACATGGCTTTGACCTTTGTATCTTTGGAGCAAAAAGGAATAAACTTCAAAGCCTAACAAAAATCACCCTCGCTGTGAAGTACAAGAGCGGCTGTGTCATGACTGTGGGACTCCCAGATACAAACTTAGAAAATGGTTGTGGCCAGCCAATCAAATGTTGTGATCATTCAAAGTAGCCATCCCAAATGATGGAAACATCAGGAAAAAAGAGCACCAAAAAAAAAATAGCTGTGCCCCATTGTCATATGAGTTGTAGGGGCAGTAACCCCTACACTGGAGAAGTGGCACCAAAACAAAGAGAAACATCAAACTTCTCAGTCCAGAATAGTGAAGTCTGCTGAGAACTCTTAAAAACCCTGAAGCACCCTGGCCTCTAAACTGTAATGATTTAAAAACCACTGAAAACTAACTCAGCAGATACAAACTGCCTGCAATATATTCTTCAAATAATTACATCTAGATCTTTCTTGTAGACCATACCTTTGCTACCTGTAGGGGCTTTTGCTGTTCTGCTCCTCCTTGCAGCCTGAACCCCCATGGAGCTCCTCCTGAGAGGGAGACCAAGATCTCCTCCATCACCATCTCTACCCCCCAGACCACTGACCAGGTGAATATGAATGGACGTGGAGTCTGTGCTCTTCCTCCTCTGTTCCTCACACTCTGAAGGTATCAAACACTGTCTCTGATCGCTCTCCAGATCACCCCACCCTTTCATTGCTAATACTGGAATGCAGTAGAGGGGGGGCCTTGGGGTGTGCGTCTGTGTGAGTCGGGGATCGTCATCAGTTCGTGTATTCGACACTTGCCATGTCAGTCTCAAGCATCACGTACAGGAGGGGATGCTTGCTGATATGCACTCCACAAATAGCAACCAGCCCTGACCTCTTCAACACAGCTAGCACTGGTGCAAAATTCTTCTCATTTTCCCCACAAGTTCTTTGTCTTTACAAGAATAAAAACAGACAAACATATTTTATATTTTTTTATTTCGAATACACAGTGGTATGAATAGATATTCAGACCCCTTAAATCTGTTTATTTTTTATCCCAATACCACCAATACCTTAAAGTGTTTTATTAGGATTTGATGTGATTGGATGACAATGCTCATAATGATCGTAACAAATTCAAAGTTTTTACCTTAAAAGTGTAGCATGTATTTGTTTTCAGCATATATTTAACCACTGAAAACCTACCAAGACATGAGCATCCAATAAGGGTCAGTCAACTTTAACAGATCAAAATGTTATCTTTCTTTAACTATTTATCTTGATTGCAATATTTTTCTCAGCTCAACTCACGTTCATCCCTGCTGCAACCAGACTCTACAATGCGACACTGCAACGGCAATAACTTGTGCAATGTATAATGTGCAATTTAGCATTTGATACCCTGTGCAATAACTGTTTCTCTATATTTGACAACCAGTGCAATAATTATATATATAAATATAAATATCCATCCATATAAATACCCAGCGAAATACTCTGTGCAATAACCCGGTATAATGATCCTACCATTTAAAAAAAAAAAAGCTGTCATTTGTGGACTGTATTTATACCATGCACCTTTTTCTTCCTTTGGCACATTCTTCTTCTTTGACCATTTGGGCTAACATAACAAGTACATCTCTCCACAGTGAGATCATTAACATCCATCAATCAACCAATCACATTTATTTTGTTTCCAAATAATAACTTTCCTTGTAGAATTTACCAAAAAAAAACAAAAAAAAAAAAAACGATATAGAATTTGTAAACTGTTTTTTCCCCTTTGTTCCTGTAAGACCTCTAGGTAATACCTGTGATTGTGAGCTTGTTTTGTTTCCTTTATTGCACAAAGTATTCGCACAAGCAAAACACCTACTAAACAAGGCTAGATGTTTGTCTTATCTTGCTGACACCTCAGAAGCTATATCCCAGTTTTAGATGTTTTGGTAAGGAGCTAGACTCCTATTCTCTCAAGGTCATTTCAACAGTCCTGTTTGTGGAAACTTTGTCTGTGAGAATCCCTCCCTTTGCTTCTTGAGTGGTTATTTATATCAATAGTGAACAGGCAGAACATTGAAAAAGGTTGTATTTGTTCTCCTTGCAAGGATTTAATAAATACTGCTTGAATGAACACCAATCTCAAATTCTTTTTAGACTTTATTTTCCCAAAAAAGTTATTTAAAGACTTTGTGATGGCAATCAAGGGCAGACAGAGGTCAAAAGGGTCCAGTGTCCCTGGAAAACTGTTCCTTGCACCTGTTATGGGCCCTGTACAAAAAAAAAAAAAATCTAAATATAAGTAGGTCCTTTTTTTCTTGATTTAAGTGCATTTTTCCTTAATTTAAAGAGTTAAGACAATTTTCATATGCGATGAGATCACTTACATTTAAAATATAGAAATTTTACTCCATTCTCTTATTTCAAGAGAATATCTAGATACCTTATTTTAAGAGCAAAAATACTAATTCTTTGGCAGATCGCCATATTTACCTAGCTAACTTAAATGTAAATGTGCTTATTTTAAGAATAATTTTACTTTTTTTTATCAGTTTGTGCCTTCTTATACTAAATCAGTGTCTTAAGAGATGACAGAAGAGACTTTAAGTAAATCGTCTTTTTTCTCGTAATGTTACGACTTTATTCTCATAATTTTACATTATTCTTGTAATATTGCAACTTTTTTCTCGTAATGTTACGACTTTATTCTCATAATTTTATGACTTTATTCTCGTAATATTCCAACTTTATTTTCATAATTTTATGACTTCATTCTCGTAATATTACAACTTTTCTCATATAATGTTCCGACTTTATTCTCGTAATTTTATAACTTTATTCTCGTAATATTACAACTTTATTTTCATAATTTTACGACTTTATTCTCGTAATATTACAAGTTTTCTCATATAATGTTCCGACTTTATTCTCGTAATTTTATAACTTTATTCTCGTAATATTACAACTTTATTTTCATAATTTTACGACTTTATTCTCGTAATATTACAACTTTTTTCTCATTATGTTACGACGTCATTCTCATAATTTTACGACTTTATTCTCGTAATATTACAACTTTTTTCTCGTAATGTTACGACTTTATTCTCATAATTTTATGACTTTATACTCGAAATCATTAAAAAAAAAAATCTCTAGCCTGGCCCTAATACTCCGTCGTATTGTGGCACCTTTAGTGACCTAAAACATTTTTTTTATTATTATTCTTTTGTTTTGTGCCCCCATGTGTTTCCACAGATGCCAAAGTCCCTGGGACCTTTGGATTAGAAGGTCAAGATCTTTTACGGCTCAATCCAAATGCAAGCCACACTTTTCAGAATTCCCCTGTCATGCATTTGGGTCACTTTAAATTATTGATACAATGAAAAATATCAATGACCTTCAAGAGTTATTAGTACTTTCGGAATAGGTTTTGTCTCCCGGGAAAGCGTCCGTTTAGCAGCGGGGAAGGGGAACGTAGAGGAAGGACGTTTTTCCCGGATGTGGACGTGGCAAAGCGCTGCAGCAGTTCCGCCGAACGTCCGCTTCTGCTACCGAGAAGGGATTAGTGAGCAACACCCCGGGACTGATCGGCTTCTAGTTCTGTCGGCCTCAGGGCTTCCCCGTTCGTCACAACCAACGGATTGCCTTACTATTTACACCTCTGCCGAGGTAGGTTACGATCCGATGCGACTTCATGTCTGACATCCTGTCCCGGCTTTAACAGGAGGAGCTCAGATTTCGCTACCTCTACCGTGGCTAACTAATGCTAACTGCTGCTAAAAGACACGGCTAGCGGATTTCTGTACACTAACTTGCGTTTATTAGCTTCACTTTCGCCTGGCTTATTCTATCACTAGGTTAGCATTAGCTATCTACAACCGGCTGTTAATGACTCCCAGCTGATTCAGGAACCTTTGCTGTCATCATGATCCAGCTAGCCTGTTGCTAACATTAGCCTAACGAATTTGCACTCACCTTTTAAGAGCCATACATAGTTTATTTATAAATGTCTCACATTTCTTTGCTCTCTAAACTCCCATATGTCAGCAACACAGTGATTTTTCCATATTCTGTTGAAGGTTTTCAGTAACATTTCCCTATGCTACAGCTACTAGCTACTAATCGGCGAATGTTGATGAGGTGCAGCTACATTAGCTAGCTTGCTGTTGGTTTATCTGCGTTTCAGGACCTTTAAACTTTAAACTATTTGTAATTGCTTCTCTCTGTAGAACTTAAAGGTTTTCTTTTTTGTAATGGAACCCATTTTATTAGTTGTATGGCTAAAGTAGGGAACATTGTTTATTTTTAAGAGGCCTGGGTTACTAAAAAGCGATTGTATTTCTCATTGTGAGCCTTTCTCCGTTCAATTATTAAAAAGCTCCGCTGTTTGTTAGATGACACTCGTGTTTATCGCATAAGTTAGAAACTTGAGCGCGTGATGAATAGAACTGTTCATGAAACTGTCGGTTCTGTTGTGCAGTAAGACAAGATCATGCGTTTAAACACAAGTTTTAGTTGAAAAAGTACTGTATGTCTGTAGTTTTAGTCCTGCTTTGGATGTTACAGCCTCTGATGTCTAAAAAAAAGCAGGTTAAATGGGTTATCTATAAACCTAAAAGCACTGATTGGTTTGATTCAGTTTTATTTTACTTGTTAGTATGTTCTTGGAACAGCTGCATGTCAACACATCAGATGAGTTAATCAGCAAATGCATTTATAAAACATGTTGGCTAAGAATCACTAGATGGACTCCTTTCATTGTAGCCATATGTGACTGGCGATCTGTTGCACTATCAGACCAAAGGTCAAACATTTAACCTAGAATATGTTCTACCTTTTTTGAAAAGAAAGTGAAATGTCTGTTATGCAGCTTAACTTTTTTTTTTTTTTATGAAAACAATTTGATCAAATTCTGATATTGAGTAAAACGGTTTCCCATTCTCGACAGAAACCAGAGCTTTGCTGACGGCCCTTTCTGTAGCTGATAAATTAAACTGTTGGGATACAGATAACTGAAATCATAGACATTATAACTAAAAATATGCACATTTTCCTCCTTTTGGGACCTTCTTTTGACTATTGAACCGTTGTGACAGGTGAATTTCTCCACCGTGAGATCAATAAAGGCTATCTTATCTTAAAAGCATAATTTAACAGATTGATTCTAAAAAAAATATATACTAATCTTTAGGTATAAGGAACAGATTTAATGGACAAAAAAATTTTCTGTATGTTACAGTCATGTTTTATTTCCCAACCTTTAACCCACCGAGGCAAATTAAAATAAAAAGGCCTTCTTTGTATTGCGGTTGAATATTGCATTAACCTGTTGGTGAAAATATCAAGTTTCTGTGTTTGTGAGTTAAAAAAAAAAAAAAAAGGTTTCAAACTCTGACAATGTTTGATGGTGTGTTTTATTTCTCTCACGGAAGAATTAGGGATGGACTAAGGATGAATGTAAATCAGCACACTCCAATGGCCTCTCCTTACGGCCAGCCCCAGCCTGGCTATGGTCAACCAGGCTACGCTCCCCAGGACGGGGGGTATCCTGGCCCTTACTCACCTTACAACGGCCCCGCTTCAGCCCATCAGCCCGGTGTTCCACCGCAAGGTAAACAGAAGATCCCAGATCTGAATTTATGCAAATACTTTTCTTAGAAGACCAAACATTACATTATGTAAGGAAGCCTGAAGTGACTTGCATAACTCTGGGATTCTGCCTGCTTTACACCGAAACGTTGAAAATCTCAGCACCTGTGCAAACTAGTCTCTATCTGATCTTCCCTTTCATTACTTCATTTACCTTCATCTGGCTCTATATCTCTGTATTTGCTCCTTTTCCCTATTTTCTTCTATTTCAGGTTATTCTCCTTTCACAAGCTTTCCCTCTAAGGCTGTGGCAGCCAACCCAGTCTCTGACCTCTCCTCTCCTCTTGACTTAGGTAACTGCCTCTGTTCACCCCTTATTTCTTGCCCTCTTCATGCATCTCACCATCATCTAATCACTGCTGTAATGTCAAATCCTCTTGGTGTCATTTTATATTTCTCAGTTTCTATTTTACTTAATTTGAAATCTATTAAATTTCAAATAGTGGTGAATTTAATTTTCCTTTGGGATCAATAAAGAATTTTGAATGAAATGATTTAGCATCAGTGCTTATTTTCAAACTTGCTTTTTTTCCCCTTGTCTTGTTAATCAATTTGAAAGATTCGGCCTTAGTGGTGACTTACATGTTACATCTCATAAATGTTAAATGTCTTGCAGTTATTGTTAGTCTTTGCCCATTCTAATTTGGCCTAAAATGTTGTTGTTTTTTTGACCCAGTATTAAATTGAAGCCTGAGCTTTTGACCTCAATTCGAAAACTTAGAATGCTATCTATTGATTTTGAGGCTGTATTTAGCGATAACTCATAATCCTATTTTCTTTTATCAATAACTTAGATCGGTGTCAGAATAATTCAAGGCTTTCTTTTCACCTAAAACTGGCATCACCAGCATGTTTTATTGGGTTTTCTTTAAACTGGAGGACACAAATGAATACATTATTTGAGATGGAAAGAAAAGAAGCATGGCGCACGGTTTTCAATAAATGTATCTTTTTCAAATCTGAAAAGTGTGGCATGCATTTATGTGTTACTAATGTGCTTAATGGTGTTTATATCCATCGTGATAAAAAAAAAAAAGTTTGTTTCTGTTTGTTGCATGATCATTTATACGAACTGTTTGTTAAAGCTTTGTGGTAGTCGCATGTTTTAAATGGTCCTCTATGTTTAGGATTCTTGCTTTTGTCATGATTTTACTTTTAGCTGATATGGTACTGGAAATTTAAATCAGCCAGAATGGCTAAATTTTACATTTACTGCATTTCTATAGTTATATATGCATTGTCCCATAAAAAAAAAAATGGTAAATACATCATTTGTAGACTTCAGGCTGAATATTTTTGCACATTTTTCTTTGTAAAATACTTTAATGTCAGACAGATTGGATGAAGATCATCTAAAGACAAACTTTTAGATCTTTCCAAAGATTTTTAATTGTATTCATGTCCATTTTATGGTAGCGTTTTTTTCTTTGTCCTCAGAAGTTAATGTTTCCAACAGTAAATTTTAACTGAAGAGCCCCTGAAAGTCGGAATTATGAGTCACAAAGTCCTATTTTAACCCTTTTTGAAAGAGCTTTGTTTATTTATGTAGCTTTATTAATTTATGTCAGTCTTTCAAAGACTAAAGCAAGTGGGATATGTTTCTGCGTCAGAATATGACGCACAACTGTGTTTTTGTCATTGCTGTGGTTTTAACAGTGGCCGCAGTGTCCATGGAGAATACCAAGGTCCACTGGAATGCATTTAGCGCAGAGATTAATACTTGTTAGATTGAAGTTCAGAGGATAAAGCAGTGAGCAAGAGAACTCTACTTAATAACTGGCTCCTTGGGGTACATGAAGTGCGCTATTACAAATGCACATTTTAAGGAGGATTATTTTTTTCTTTATCACATAGCATCCAGGGAAGTTTGTAAGTTCAGTTAGGTCTTGATTTTGATTCCGATTCAGTTTGGTCTAATCTTAAACTTGATTCTTTGTATTTTAAAAAATCTATTAAATGAGTGTTTAGTTATTTATTATATTGATATTTGTATTTTAACACTTTACAGCAAGTGAATAAAGTAAGGGTAGTTGATGGTGAATGTAAGGATAGTGGAAATTGTGTTGGTTATATAAATTAAACTTTAGGATTTAATAGAATCAATTCAGAATTAGAAAAACTTTTTTAGTTTTTTTTTTAACAAAGCATTAGTTTTAATACCACAAAATGGAGTACTTTTTCTTTGTACAGTTATCAGAATCATTTATGATGATTGGTTATTTTCTGCAGGTCCAACAAGGCTTCCTCCCACCTCTGCACCCCCTCCTGCTTCAGCTCCTCAGCCCTATAACCAGTACACCCACAGTCAAGGGGACATGCAAAATGGACCCCCACCCATGACACAGGCACCGCCCAGGTAAAAGCTGATGTTAATCATCCTAGGATAATTATTTTGCAGGTTGTTTGCTTTACTGCATCATCTATATATTAAAAATATGTCGCAGTGAAATTCGAATTGAAAACATATTCAGCAATATAAAACAGACCTAGCAGATACAACCAAAAATTCCCAGGTAAAAGTTGAAGGTAATCCAGGGGTTTTTATTTTTTCTATGTAAGCTAAAAAAAAGCCTATAATGTTTGGCTGTGGTCGTCCGGACCAAAGCGGAGTCAGAAGAGTAATCTTTTTCTGCGTCTCAGATTAACGTGTTAAATCAGGGTTTTGTAGATTATATTACAAGAACAAAGACTTGAAGTGAACTAATGACACAGAATCAGAGTGAGCGCTTTTGGTATGTTTCCTCTGTGATGTGACTGTTAGAGTTGGGAAAATCGATGCTTTGCCCATGACGTTCCTTTGAGTGGCTTACATTCAAAGATGGCAATTCTCCATGAGGAATCGTGCTTTTTTGGGGGTAAGAGCGGTGTGACGTGCACTGTCCCGCTTCCAGCAGTCAGAATCAGAATCAAGTTTATTGCCAAGTAGGTTTGCACTTACAAGGAATTTGACTTGGTGTTGTTGGTGCAGACAAAAAAATAACAAAACAAAATAACAAAATAAGATAGAATATATATATATATATATATATATATATATATATATATATATATATATATATATATATATATATATATAGAAGCTATATAGAAACAGTAGACTGTGTGTTAATGTAACGCAGAAATCCTGAATGGGGGAGAGAAACATTGTCCAGTGTCACGGGCAGGTCTTGGCCTTGTTGATAAGGCCGATAGCAGATGGGAAAAAACTGTTTTTGTGACGGGAGGTTCTGGTCCTGATGGACCGCAGCCTCCTGCCAGAGGGTAGTGACTGAAATAGTTTGTGACTGGGGTGCGAGGGATCAGCCACAATCTTCCCTGCACGCCTCTGAGTCCTGGAGGCGTGCAGCTCCTGGAGAGATGGGAGGTTGCAGCCAATCACCTTCTCTGCAGACCGGATGACACGCTGCAGTCTGCTCTTGTCCTTAGCGGTGGCACCAGCGTACCAGATGGTGATGGAGGAAGTGAGGATGGACTCAATGATGGAGGAGTAGAACTGCACCATCATTGTCCTGGGCAGGTTGAATTTCTTCAGCTGCCCGCAGGAAGTACATCCTCTGCTGGGCTTTCTTGGTGAGGGAGTCGATGTTCAGCTCCCACTTTAGGTCCTGGGAGAGGATAGTTCCCAGGAAGCGGAAAGACTCCACAGTGTCAATGGTGGAGTCACAGAGGGTGATGGGGGTAGCAGGGGCTGCGCTCTTTCTGAAGTCCACAAACAACTCCACTGTTTTTAGAGCGTTGAGCTCCAGGTTGTTCTCCCTGCACCAGGTCACCAGATGGTCAGCCTCCCACCTGTAGGCGGACTCGTCACCATCGGAGATCAGTCCGATGAGAGTGGTGTCGTCTGCGAACTTCAGGAGCTTGACAGACTGATGACTGGAGGTGCAGCTGTTGGTGTACAGGGAGAAGAGCAGAGGAGAAAGAACACAGCCCTGGGGGGAACCAGTGCTGATGAGCTGTGAGTCAGAGAACTGTGTTCCCAGCTTTACGTGCTGCTTCCTGTCCGACAGGAAGTCTGATCCACCTGCAGGTGGAGTCAGGCACATTCAGCTGGGAGAGCTTCTCCTGGAGCAGAGCTGGGATGATTTTGTTGAAGACCGAGCTGAAGTCCACAAACAGGATCCTGGCATAGGTTCCTGCGGAGTCCAGGTGCTGGAGAATGTGGTGAAGGGCCAGGTTGACAGCGTCATCTACAGACCTGTTGGTTCTGTAGGTAAACTGAAAGGGGTCCAGGAGGGGGTCCGTGATTTCTTTCAGGTGTGACAGCACAAGACGCTCAAAGGACTTCATGACCACAGAGGTCAGGGCGACGGGTCTAAAGTCATTAAGTCCTGTGGTCCTTGGCTTCTTGGGGACAGGGATGATGGTGGAGGATTTAAAGCAGGCTGGCACGTGACATGTCGCCAGTGAGGTGTTAAAAATGTCTGTGAACACTGGAGACAGCTGGTCAGCACAGAGCTTCAAAGTGGATGGAGTGACAGAATCTGGTCCAGCAGCTTTCCGGGGGTTCTGTTTTTTGAAGATTTTGTTTACATCTCTCTCTTTTATGGAAAGAGTTGTCACTGAGGAGGAGGAGGTGGAGGTGATCTGTTGGGTGGTGTTGTGGGGGGTGGATGCATGACTGTCCCTTTTTCTGTCGAAACGACAGTAGAAGTTGTTCAGGTCGTTGGCTAACTGTCGGTCGTTCATGGAGTGGGGGGCTTTTGGCTTGTAGTTTGTTATCTGCCTAAGCCCTTTCAAGACAGAGGCAGAGTCGTTGGCAGAAAGATGGTTTTGCAGCTTCTCAGAGTACAGTCGTTTACCCTCTTTCACCGCCTTGCTAAACTTGTATTTTGCATCTTTGAATCTGCATTTATCTCCGCTCCTGAAGGCCTCTTCCTTGTCCAACCTAAGTCTTCTGAGTTTGCCAGTGAACCAGGGTTTGTCATTATTGTAATTCACCCTGGTTCGTGTAGGAATACAGCAGTCCTCACAGAAGCTGATGTATGATGTCACAGCCTCTGTGAACTCATCCAGACTGTTGGTAGCAGCCCTGAAGACGTCCCAGTCAGTAGAACCCAAACACGCCTGAAGATCCTCCACAGTCTCAATGGTCCAATTCTTTGATTTCCTCACCACAGGTTTGCAGAGCTGTAGTTCTATTTCATCCCTACTGACCGCCAGAGGCGGTGCTTCAAGCACTGAATGATCATTCTTGCGCATGCGCAGGTCGAGTATTAATGACAACAAAGTCAGCTGTGACCTGCCGGGGACCCACGTGACTCTATATAGTCACGTGGCACCCGGCAATCAATCCCTTTTGTTCTTCTCGCGCGCAGGTGTGTTGAGTACCGGAGTGTGGTCGTGTGAAGCTGGTTGCTTCTGTGTATACCACTAGTTTCCTGGCTGCTTGTTGCTGGTAGCCCCGTGACCGGGTTTGGTCGGAGCTGCGGGTAAGTCTCGCCCTCCAGGGGCTGCACAAGCTGCTTTCACCTTACCAGATCTGCGGTGACTGGTAAGTTTTCGTTCTTTTCTCAGCAGTAGTTTACTGTTCGCTTTGATTTGCCACGTTAATTTTGTGGCTCTTTTGACTCACGGTAGCGTTTCTGCTCGCGCTGAGTTGTTTTCAGTTTGTTTGCCTAGGCCCACCAGTAGCGTTTCTGCCCGCGTTGGGTTCTTCTATAGTTTGTTTATCTACACTCACCAGTGGCGTTTCTGCTCGCGCCGAGTTGTTTTCAGTTTGTTTGCCTAAGCCCACCAGTAGCGTTTCTGCCCGCGTTGGGTTCTTCTATAGTTTGTTTATCTACACTCACCAGTGGCGTTTCTGCTCGCGCTGAGTTGTTTTCAGTTTGTTTGCCTAAGCCCACCAGTAGCGTTTCTGCTCGCGTTGGGTTCTTCTATAGTTTGTTTGCCTAAACTCACCAGTGGCGTCTCTGCTCGTGCTGAGTTCATCTTTAGTTAATAATCGATTTGCTAGTGGCGTTTCTGCTCACGCTGAGTTTGGAATCTCTGCGGGGGTTTTCCTACAACGAGTCGCCAGTAGCGTTTCCTGCTCGTGTTGACTTGTCCTTGGTAGCAGGCTGATCACGCCTTTCAGCAGTATGATGCTGGATAATTTATGTTGCTCGACCTGTCTGGCTCCACTTCAGCCGGATGACGGGCATGACTTGTGTCCCTCCTGCCTCGGTGTGGAACATCTCCGGGAGGCGCTGTCAGATGACGCTTGCCCCAACTGTCGCGTCATGCCCCGGTCGGTCAGACTGGATCGGTTGGCTGCACTGGAGCAGCCTACCGACTGGGCGAGCGCTTCGCCGCGTGCTCGTTTGCCGATGGAGAAAGCGGTGTGCAAACGATCTACTGTGGCTGCACCTTCGGTACCGACGAAGCGTGCTAGACGGACCGATGCAGGGAGGTTGTCCACCAGAGTGGATCATCTCACTACTGAGCTGGCCCAAATGAAAGCCCTCCTCCAGTCCTTTCAGACTGCTGGTGATCGCGGCACGGCTCTCCCTACCGAGCAGGATGAAACGTCAGTCAATGACGACGATGCTGTTTCTGTGGCGGCCTCTGGCACCCATTTCTGTGAGGACCTTCCGGAGCTGGGCTCCGGGGCCTCTGGGTCGGACTCCATTGCCTCCCAGGAGGATACGGGGGAGTCTGTGACATCCGCTATTCGAACGGCTCTTGCCCGTTTACAGATTAGTGTTCCTCAGGCCCAGCCTGCGGCTTCCAGCGCCTTCTTTAGGCGCAGTAGGTCAGAGACTGCCTTTGTGGTTCCTCCCTCGGCGGAGTATGTGCGGGAACTGCATGCTTGCTGGTCAGACACCAAGGCGTTTTCACGTCTGACGACGGATGGCAGGGTCCTGGCAGCTATGCAGGAGGCACCCAAGGTTGGCTTGGGGCAGATGCCAGCGGTGGAACCGGGCATTGCCTCTCTTATAATCCCGCCTGATGAGGCCTTGCGGCCCAATGCCCGTTGTCCGCGTCCTCAGTGCCGTATTACCGACGACCTTCTCTGTAAGGCCTATGACTCTGGGGCCCGCATGGGCCGGATTTGGAACTCTCTCTCCCATCTTATGCTGGCCCTGTCTTCCTCCTTGGAATCTGTTCCGCTGGATCATGCCACGCAAGGCCTGGTTGATGCATCTCTGCAGGCCTTTGCTCTTATGACGAGGGAACTTGGACGCACACTCTCCACACTGGTTCATGCTCGCCGCCAGGTCTGGTTGGCGCAGTCACCACTAACTGAGCCTTGTAGGAGGACCCTCCGGGCCCTGCCTGTGGTCCCGGGGGAGCTTTTTGGTTCAGCGGCACTGGACGCCTTGGACCGTACGGCTCAGGCCTCTAGAACGAGGCAACAGCTGGCAGGGCTTCACAGAC